GTTCCTTCGAAACACATTTGTTTAACAAAGCAAACATGTTATCATGTTTTGCTCAAATCGCCATTCGAAGCAGTTTCATTTCGATGTCCACCATGCTGAACTTCTGGCGGTGCGATTCTCAGACATGGTAGTACCTCGATTGAAGGAAAAATTCCTTTCGTACTACCATTTATTTCTGATGATGTCAGTGCCTCCATTAGAAAGTGTCTAAAAAGATCGGGTTTGGAAAATTTAGTTACCATTATAAACGTACCACCTTTCAATCTAAAGAAGCGCCTGGTTCGAAACAGGCTATACGATCGCCTATGTACCACCTCAAACTGTGTGGTTTGTCCAGCTGGAAGGGAGGGTGATTGTAATATGTCTGGGGTGGTCTACAAAATTACTTGCCGTGATTGTGGTGACGAGTATATTGGAGAAACGGCAAGACCACTCCACGTGAGGGTTAAGGAGCACATAGATGGTATGAGGCGATTGAAAGAGTCTACTGCCTTGGGGAGTCACCGAATCCAAAAGCATAACGGAGGTGTTTTTGAGGGCACCGTGGAGGTCATAGCACAGGAATCGCAATTGTGCGCACGTAAAACCCTCGAGGCATTTTGCATACAGGTCACCAGTCCCAAAATGAATTATAGAGAAGAATGTCTCGCAATCACGCGTGAGCTACGACCTTATATAAGGCTGGCCTTCCCGCAGAGACTTTAATGAGAACATACCCCAGCTGACACTGGTCGGTTGGTACCATCACTCGCTGGGTGATTTCGAAGAATCCACAAAGCTACGGTGAGTGGTTCTCCTTTCAATCACTTGCGTGCCCTGGGGGTCTCGAGCTTTAGTGGGGTAGGTGGAGACGTTTGGTCGGATAGTCACAGATTGTTATGATCCTTTCAGGCTCTGAAGAAGGCGATTCCGCCGAAACGTCAGCCTGATAAAGCATACTTAAAAACCTCGTGAGGAGTTCAAGAAAACAAAAAACTCAGTGATCAAAGAGAGTTGTAAAATTGTTTTGCAAGCCTTCAAAATATATTTTTAAAATCGCGCAAAACAATGAACGCTCTCAGTACAGACATTCATGCAGTGCTTGCAAGCCCATTTCTTTTAATGGTGCGCCTTCGCTTCACATCTGTCTCTGCGACTCGCCCTCGGCATATGCTCAACAATATCGTTCAAAAGGATCGCTCCAGTAACTTAGTTCCCAAACGTTTCGCAGAATCGGAATGTGGATTTGACATCCGCGTCGGAAAACACATATGTGGGTTTACATCACATTTTGAATGCCCGCGAACCCAATCTCCTGTCGTGTCAGTTCTTGAATTCTCTGACATGGCGGCTGGTTATGATTCGAGTAGCTAGCCAGAATATGCCGAGAAATAAGAGTGTTCAATTGTTGGGAGCGTCCCCGAATCGTCTTTGTTCACGTTTGACTCACTCAAACGCAAGCTTTTGGCTGAGACGATAAGCAGGATACCTACAGCTGAAGCAGGCTCCCCACACATGCATGCACGGATATACCTGCGAGGCAACGGAATGTATGAATTGTCCCTTCATAAAAGAAGGAGGGAGTTTATCTCTTGTACCTACCTGCGTATCAGAGCTGGTAGCGGTGAATCAGGTCCACAATATAATCCCCTGTCCGCCACCTCGGGCCTTAGCTCGTACCAACCGGCTGGATCAAGATATCTCCCTCCAAGATCAAGACGGATCAGCCCTACGAAGAGAAATCTGCTTAACAGGATACCCAACAAATTTTGGCTAGAATGTGGTTAGGGGGGGGGGAGGGGGCAGCGCTCTTTTGGACCATTTCAATGCGGGCTAGAGCGCAGAGAAGGAAGAGTAGCTGGATTCCCGAGCCCTTAATTGTGCTTAACGTTTCGTTAGCTTTTTTAATGTTACAATTATATTCTTTTACATAAGCCTGAGAAGGAAGGAGCTCCGGAATGGATGAGCCAATTGGATGTTCAATTTTTACCTCATCTCAGCTTTTGCACGAGATAATAGTCTCACCCATCCTGGAACTCCTTCACTTCTAAAGCCTTGGCTACACCTAAACTACATTTTATTTCCTGTAAAAGGATAAGAATAATGGATTCTAATGGAGCCTATCCAGCCAGCACTGGAAACCTATACAGTCACAATTTTGTGGATCACGACGTTCATGTCCGTAAAGATTAAAAGTGCAACTGAAAACGACATCTGGTATCCTATTGCGCTGATATTTGTGTGTTTGCTTGTTTGTGTATGTGGTGTGTGTATGCGTGCGTGCGTTCGTGTAAGTGTGTGTCTGTGTTGTGTGTGTATGTGTGCACGTGTGTATTTGTGTGTATGTGTGTGTACGTGTGTACGTGTGTATGTGTGTATGTGTGTGTGTGTCCGTGTCCGTGTCCGTGTCCGTGTCCGTGTCCGTGTCCGTGTCCGATAACTAAGACAACTTCATAACTCCTGTCCCCTCGACCCCAAAGCTTTCCAATTCGGTAAGAGTGCAGGCGGGGCACCAACGGCGGCTTGTTTGACTGCTTGAGTGGGTTTCTGAGTAAAGGGATGACTGCATCGAGATTCTCAGCCTTCTCTCTTCAAATGTAGGGATTTGAACTCAGGAAAATTCTCTAAATAGAGACTCTATAGAACCGTTGACAGACTCTTAATTCCCCACTGTTGCCTAACGTGGGGCTATTCATATCGACGGGGTCCTGAAGTTAGTATAAGGTATAAAATCAATTACTTCACCTTCCAAAGAATATTGTGATGATGATGGTCGTGCGCAAGCGTGCGACGTATTTTTGATGATGGTGTTGGGAAAATAAATTGCAACTACAGTATTTACCTAATCACTTCGCAATCGTTTGAATCTGACCTATATTTTCTGTCCCAACCACCTATTCCATTTTGGTGTAAGGTGTGGTGAGCGCGGCTGTCGTTCACAAATGTATGCAGCCACCTCGGCCGATTACTTCTGTTAAAGCCAACTTGAGTGTGCTCCATCTTTGGAGAGCTTACTTGCAAGCTTGACTCTTCTGCACCGTTGAAGAGAAAAATGACGTCGTGCTTGAGTACGTTCATTTTTTGAGACAGTAGACGGAGTAGTTCTAACATTATAGCACATGAAGCCAAATCGTCAGATCCGCCTGAAGCAAGTCGACTCATCTATGGTGATACTACTACGGAATTTAGGATGCAAAACGTATTTTGAGCACAAGAGTCGTTGCTATGAGCTTAATAAATCGTTTATATGAGAACTGTATAAGAGGGCTATACTCAAAGAGGGCATGGGTCAAACACAAAAAAGGAGGAGTAAAAGAACAAGTGATCATGAGACTAATGGTCTATAACTTACCGCTGCTAACAGGCCAACTGTCATAATGGCAATTCAGTAGCAGTGCGAATCGCTGCTCTTTTGTATCATTTCTTGAGAGGCGAACTGCCACGTTCGACACCTCAATCACTTCTTCTGAGTATTCCTAGCTGACCTATCATTCAAAAAGTTCTGTCAAAAAGTGATTGCTCTAAACTCACGTTTTTGTAACAGACTGTGAAGCTATCAGTATCGAACCGTGGAATATCAAAGCAGCCCGAAGGGTTTTGTAGGGAAATCTCGATCTTCGCTGTGGCCGCGACCTTTATGATCCTTGGAAGAGAGCTTTTGATTATAAAAACAACCATATGCTTTCGATTCCGAGGTTATCCAAAGCTAAAACTGTTTTGAAAAGGTGGACCATTGGTGACCTTTCAGAACACACAAGGGTTGCTGTTGCCTGTCATATAAAAAGTCCGAGGCCTCCTGGTTCCGATCAATCGTGTTTTAGTATGTGTTCGCATACTCAAGTCTCATTCGGGACCGTAGTGACTTTGTCATTGCGGACGTGGCCTACACATCTAGTAAGTTGCGATGGCCAATCAGAAAAAAACCTGATAATAGTGTAAGTATAATTCGATAACATTTGTGAGTACTACCCAAGGCTTCGGTGCCGGATAGTTGAATCTCTGATGAGCAATTATTTTTAAGATGAATAGCATTCGCTCAAGACTTCCAATCGTAGACGTAAGCATCGGCACATCAGAAAATTACTTGCAGGCCCTGACTATGCCAACTTCCCCTCCTTTGGGTCGAAGTTTCAGAGCGTATGTGGAATTGCGTAATCAGAAAGGTATCATTCGTACTGATAAGGGGGTTGCATTGCCCGATTACTAAGAACTCAGAGAAAAAGAAAAGTCCGGCGTGAGTCGGGGGTATCCGACTAGTCCTACTATGCACAACGCGTTAAAAGAGTCTGTTGGTTTCACTTCCTGTATGTGTACGTGTGCCTGACTGGGTACTCATAACTTCAGCTTCCCTGGACCAAGTTTGTTCAAACTTGATAGTAGTATAGGCAGAATGGGAAAACATATGGTGTGTGGCAGGATCGGACTTCATCTACAAAGGGCGAGGCGTGATCGCGAAATATAATAAATGTTGATTGGACATTCATGAATACTGTTCCTGTGGACCAGGATTGTTTAAATCTGGCAAAAGTACGACGTCTGAATGAGAACACTTGTACACGATGCGTGAAGCGTGTACTTCAACACTATGATTTTGTTCTATACTGACACAGCATTACGTATGACTATACAGATTTCGAAATTTGGCCGTCTTTCTTTGCCTTTTCTCCATTCTCTATCCTTCTCATTCCAGTCAAAAAAATAAACTCCTTTTTTCAAGGCGGACTGGAAGCGGCTGACCCGTCATTCGCTCTGAATTTGCTCAGTACCAAAAGTGTAAGCGTCACCAGACATTGAATTCCATTTGTTCTGCCTCTGCGGAGCTCACCTTCATTGATAGCGCACCTTACCCTTCAACATTTCTCTTCTCTATGACTGACCAATATAATGAGCGGACCAAAACCTTGAATGGTTGGAAAAATGGAAATTCTTATCGATATCCTGATTTGAGCGGGGAATCAGTTTCGTTGCAACCGACGTCGGAATAAAGAGAATATCTGATACCTCAACTAGTCGTAAACATATTGGGTTGTAACATAAGTTCGTAGAGCTTTGCGTTAGAGTTATTTTACGACGATTTATTTTGTTTTTTATTTTGTTTTTTAGCAAACTGCATGCATTCATTTGAAAAAGCTCTTTCTCCTCTACAAAACTGTTTTATTCGTTTTTAGGATAATTAAATTGTTCGTCTTTTTTCGGGCTCAGAAATGGATGAGCC